CTGGGGCCAAAGGAGGTGGGGGGTTGTTTGGAGTGACGAGAATGTTCCAGGACTAGATAAAAGTGGTGATTACACAACACTGTAAGTGGCTAAAGCCCTGAATTGTATATTTTAAAATGGTAAATTGTATGTTCTGTAAATTTTACCTCAATGACATAACAATGAAAGTATCGTGAATGCTAAAGCTCAGATAATTTCATGGGTGGGCAACTGGTCTTTGAGGCCCCATGTTGCTGGTGCCCAGTGTCTGGCCTGGCCAGTCTAGAGTACCCCAGCCCCGGGTGGCCGCACCAGGCAGGTATGCACAGTGGGCAGGCTCGGGGTGGCTAGGCCGCAGCTGCATTAAGGGTACAGGGACCCCAATCCCTACAGCTTTCTGGTCCCCTGACAGGACTGGCCCAGGTCCTTCCTGAGGTGATGAAAAGGGAAGTGCCACCCGAGAGAGGACGACAGCTGCCCTCCAGCCAGGCCTCCACCTGCAGGAGGCTGACCACACTTCCCTGAGCGCCTGCTGCCACCTGCAGGCCCCTCCGTGGGCCTGGCCCTGAGTGCCTGCTGCTCACCTGGTCCTTGAACTTGTCATCGCTGATGTCCTTCAGGTTGATGAGCACGTTGAAATACGCACCAAACATTCCCGTCTCCAGGGCCTTGGCAGCCACCTGCAAGGTCACAGGGACAGGGCTGAGGGACGGCGGGACTCTCCCAGCAGCAGTGTCTGGGATCCCAGCAAGTGTCTGCCCCTCTGAGCCCCCCCCCCCATCAATAATGATGGCAAACTGATCACCAAGGGTCCCCCAGAGGCAGCTGGGCAGCCTGTCCGAGGAGGCCCACCCTCATCCCACAGCAGGAAGTGGGCTCCGGCCTTGTCCTTCCAGAGGACAGAGGCAACCACCACAGCCTGACTCCGCCTTAGAGCTTAAATGGAGGCCCTGCTCATGTGGGCAAGGTCCAGCCTCCTAGCACAGCAGCCTCAGGGCGGGCTGGATCCTCTCCTGGGTCACCATCGTGGAGGTGACCGTGAATGGAGCAAGCATGGTGGCCAGTCACGTGGTAGGAGCATGGTCGTCCTTGGGGCTCCGGGACCCCACACCATCCAGCGTGCAGAGGCACCCCCTCAGATGACCTTGAACGCATCCAGTAGGCCAGGCCCATATCACGGGCCTCGGTGCTCCCTGACCTCACGCGCACCGAACGCTGCATGTGCACAGGCCTGGACGGAGCTGGTACAGGTGGGGCTCTTAACAACGAGACCCAACATGTTAGATGCTCATTGTCCAAGGAGATGCCGGAGCACGGCGGGAGCACGGGAATGGTAGGCACCCCAGCCCATGTGTCCAGGCAGCCTCCGTTCTTGACAGCTCAGGCTCGGCCGCCTTCCCAGGGAAGGAGGGGACCCTTCTCTGCAGCCTCAAGCCCAGACACTAAACTCAGGTGTCTCTCTTATAAAGACCCTGTAAACTGTGGGGTCTGAATTCAAGGGGCAGAAATCACAGACCCAAGCCCTCCACACACAGCTCGTGATGTGTGCACACCTGTGAGCTGTCTTCAGTGTTTTCTAGAGCCAGGAGGCCAGGAGGAGGGAGAGGGGGAGACCCAGAGAGGGAAGGAGGAGGAGGAGGAGGAGGAGGAGGAGGCATCAGGAGGGTCAGGCGTGGACTCTGGAGACTCACTTGAGTTTCTGCTTATCTGCCCTGCAACCCTGAACAAGATCCTGAATTCTCCATCTTCAAAGGAGGAGGCATCAGGAGGGTCAGGCGTGGACTCTGGAGATTCACTTGAGTTTCTGCTTATCTGCCCTGAAATCAACACACCAGCCCTGCTGGCTGAGGCCGGCCAAGACCACCTGGGATGTGCTCACGTCCAGGCCATGGTGTTTAGCAAACACCATGAACGGCTGCGATCGCCCAGTGACCCACCACCCTCCGCATGGCTATAACCCCGACAGCGGGAGGCCAGGCTCCACCACGTACCTGCAGGTCCGATCGGCAGGCCAAGTTCACACACAGGGCCAGCTCCCGCAGCGCCGGCCACAGCGAGGCCACCGTCTCCGCCAGCTCCAGGGGCACGGTCACCGCCTGTCTCAGCCCCTTCTGCAGGGCGGCTGCTCGCCTGAAACCAAGGGGTCATCGAAGCCCAGGTCATGCAGGAACCCCACCCGGGTCCCCGCCCCGACAGCTGCAAGCAGACAGAACCAGGGTGGGGACAACAGGAAAGTCACTCTTTCGTCACCAGCACATGCTCAGAGGGTAGATTAATTGGAAATGAGACCCTTTCAAGTCTCCTGCCCCCACCTGTCCTTCTCCTCGGGGGTGCTCCTAGGCAGCTTCATCGCTTCCTGCCGGAACAAAGCACAGAAACGCTCGGGTGAGGGCCATGCCTGGGCCACTCGGGAGCCTGGGCTGGGCAGGGGCAGCCTCGTAGCAGCGCCCATGTCACCATCGGGGTTGACATTTCCACACAGCACGGGCGTCACTTTGGGAAGAGTGCTTCCGTTGGGGTTCATGGTGTTGGGCCCCCGCAGAGGAAGGCGACCTGGCTCAGGGACCCCACAGCGGGCACTAAGGGACTGGAGAGGAAGGGCTGGCAGCGTCCTCAGGCACTAGAGGGGTCCCGTTAGGTCTCTGCGCCCCACCCCTCCGATAGCACCTGGCCTGCAGTCATTGTTCAAAAGTGACACAGGCAACAGTACGACCCCCCAAATCTAGACATAAAGGTTCAAACTGTGTCCCCACCTCCCTGAAGGCACCTGTGCTCTGGATGGTCACGCTGGGTCTGTCGCACCCCACAATGTGCTCTTGCTCCTTTGATGGCTACACAGGCAGGGCCCCCCTTGTTCGTGCACCCCTCGACTGTGGGCATGGCCGTGGCCAGGCCCTGCCCTCCCGCAGGATTTCTGGACACAGTCAATGGCACCCAGCTTTTTCTCCTGCGATCCCCACTTTCCACGGACCCTGTGCTGGCCCCTCTGGGCACTCACCAGGCAGGCGGTGAAGGCCTGGGCATCCGCGTCCACTAGCGCTGTCAGCCGGGCTGAGGCCGCCTGGAAGGGCGGGATCAGGCGCCGCATGGTCACGTCCAGGTGCTCGAACTGGCGCCGCCCGTAAGTCATCAGGCCAGCCATGCAGGCCAGCGAGGCTCCCTGCGGAGGGGCCAGCTGAGGGACTGGGACCCCTGTCACCACCCCGTCCTTGTCCACAGCCCCCACCACCCTGTCCTCACCCCAGTCCCTGCTCCTGCCCCCGCTCACCATGGCTGCGCTGGCTGCTGCCACGGAGCCACCCCCTGGGGTCGCCGAGCGGGCGCCCACCTCCCGGACAAAGGCACGCAGGGACTTGTCCACCAAGCTCTGCTCGGGCCCGCTGTCGGGGACCAGGTATCTGCGGGACCCAGAGGGACAGGGATGGGGTCCTGGGTCATAGTTACAGACTGGGAAGGAAGGTCTGGCTCCGACCACGGTCCCGGACTCCAGCCCGCCCCCCTCACCCAGCCTCACAACAGGAGAAGGGGGATACAGCCCCAGTTTGCAGAGCAGCCACAGCCTGGGCGGGGCTGTGACCACCCCGCAGCCCCCCTGAGGACAGAGCAGAACCTTGTTGGGGCCTCACTGCACTCCCCAACCAGCCCCAAGCCTGCTCCTGGCACGGGCACCCTGGTGTCTGCTGATGAATAAGTGATCAAGCAGAAGGCTCTGGAAGGATGGAGGCTGGGCCAGCAGGATGGGGGCACACGGAGGGACTGGGGGGCTGCTCACTCGATGATCCGCTCCTTAGGATTGAAGGGGGACAAGGAGTCCAGGCCCAGCCTGTTCACCACCTGGAAAGGAAGCGCTGGTGACCGACGGCCACCTCAGCCCACCTCCCGCACCCCGTGCATAAGGAAGGCCACCGAAGGGTCAGTCCCACCTCAGCTCATGGCAGCATCCCCACCTTGACCCAGCCGGTGTGTGGGGAGTGAGGCAGGGTGCAGCCGGCCACGCTCTCGCCCACTAGGAGCCCTGCTGATCGCTGGCTCCCGTCCAAGCCGGGCCCACCTGGGAGAGCACCTAGCCCGGAGCAGGCCCCTCGTCCGTCTGCACACACTTCCTGACACACCCACCCGCCGTGTCACTCCACAGAGACACGGAGGCCCAGAGTGGGGAGCTGCCCATCCGGTCCCTCGGCTGTTGGCCTCGTTCTGAGCCACACGGGCCTCCCCACCTGTCCCTCAGACGCCCCCACGGGCAAGAGCTCTGTGCTGAAGGTCAGCCACACTGCCTCTCTGGACAAGGTTTTGTCTCCTTGGGTGTCACAACTCACTGTTTCTTAAAGCCCGGGAGCTGCCCGATTTGCCGAAACACGAGACACGTGATGTGAGGAAAAGTGAAGTTTGCCTAAACTCAAAATAAAGTTGGAACCATCCTCATTTAAGATTAGAATTCTTTCCACCAAATAAACATTCAAAACACTGTATGGTGCCTTATGCCAGCGACACTGGCCTTCTGAGCCGGAGTGGCTGATCCTTGTACAAAAAACAGAAGGTGGCACGTGGTGCTGAGAGGAACGAGCCAGCAGGGCCCGGGGTGGTGGCGGGCTGTCTCCGAGAACATGGGGACCGGCGGAGACACCCCTGGAGAGTTTGCTTGTAGCATCCACATGAGGTAAAGCCCTGCTGACACAGACAACCTCAGAGAGAGGAACAGAACTTGTCGACTGAATGTAAACACCCGGCTAAGCTGGCGGGAGGAAAGGAACTCATTGAGGCCAGAAGTGACCGGAAAGGTGAAGCAGAAAGGCCCGCTCCCTCTGAGGCTGGTCCCCCTGGAGGCATCTGAGCACCTCTGCACCCCTCCTGAGGGGGGAGGGCTCGAGCCTTCTTGAGTGGAGGTCAGACTGCAGACCCCTGAGAGGCGACATCCCCAAGGATAAACTAGAAAATCAAGCCTCTGAAGCTCATAACCAGCCGACAGACAAGGAAGGAGGCTGGCAGAAAAGGAGAGGCACACACTGACCTCACCTTCTTACAGAATGAAGGTTAATGATCCGTGGATACTTGACATATTTAACATATGTGGGTATGGGTACAGAGGGCCGATGTGATCTATTTGACTTGATGTAACAATAACAACAAGGCCATTCAAATCTGGAGCAGAGAAGACTGCTCTCACAGCGTGTTAATTTTCTTGTCTTTCTTCACCGAGTCAACAGACATTGTCTAAAATTGATAAAGTGCTGAAAGATCAAGTATGTTATTAAACTTAAAACTTGAGCCACTTAGAACTAACAAATGAATTCAGCAAAGTAGTTGAATACAAAGTCAACACACCACAGTCAGCTGCATCGCTATACACAGACAGTGAGCAATCTGAAAAAGAAATTGTAAAAGCAGTTTCATTGAAAATGGCATCAAGAAGAGTAAAATGCTTAGGGATTAGTTAACCAAGGAGGTGAAAGATTATACAATGAAAACTACAAAACACTGCTGAAAGAATTTAAAGGAGACGTGCGTCAATGGAAACACATCCCAGGGTCGTGGATGGAAGGCGTCTTAGGGTTAAGATGGCAATGCTGCCCAGAGCGACTGCGGATTCGACAAAATCATCAAAATCCCAATGACATGGTTTGCAGGTACAGAAAACCCTTCCTGGAGGGTGGTGACTGGCTGCACAGCATCATGAGTATTTAATATCATTGAAATATCCACTTAAAAATGGTTATGATGGCAAATGTTATGTTCTGTGTATTTTACCACAATTTTAAAAAGGGGGAAATTAACTACCAAAAGAACCCCCTAAAAAAAGTACTGTAACTAAAAAGTCAGGAAATAGAGAATGAAGAAGAGGGAGAAAGAAGAACTGTGTGTTTATGTTCTCATTTTCATAAAAAGTGGTCGATGTACTGATAAAAATCAATAAATTTGAAAATTTGAATGTAATTTTAAAATTTTTTTTAAAAAAACAATAGAAAAGGTAAATATAACAGTAACTACCAGAATACCTAAAAACTAGACTAACTTCCATGTACAGTAACCAGAAGGAACCACACCCACACACCCCGACAAGCCTGAAATCAGGACAGAAATAAGTCCAGGAACACCTGCTGAATTGGCAGATACTCAGAGATAACTTCAACTACCAAACAAACGCTGCCAGAGAAGTCCACCCATTGCTCAACGTAAGAAATGCGGAAGGAATCCAAGTGGGTGGAGCTCAAGGCAAAGGTGTCACAAGGAACAAATGGAAGGAACCATGTAAATCTGTGGGCCCAGGTGCCGGGGACTCGCTCCCACATCCGGAAGTGTGAGGAGGCTGGAGGTGGCTCCAGATCAGACACCAGAGGGAAGGAAGGGAGGCCAGAGCACAGTCCTCCCATCAGAATTTTTACAGGACAGAACACATTTAAGGCCACAAAGAAAACCCCAAGAGTGTCCTCAAAAGGAAAATCGTATGATCTCATCTTCTAAGCACAGACAATAAAACAAAGGAGGAGGAATGAGTCCTGGCCCCACGGACAGGGCTGCAGGCCCTTGTGTGGGCACCTCCAGCACCCAAACCTGCTCTCAGGAACCTGGAGTTCACTCGGGGCTCCCACTGGGCCGTCAGCCTCGCCCCACCCCCCCTCAGGGGCGCAGCCCACCAGCCTGATCCGGTGCTCCTCCTCCAGGATGAAGAGGTTCTCCTTCTCGCAGTAGAAGGCAGCGGCGTCCAGGAGGGCCTTCAGGGGCACCAGCCCCACCAGCTGCGAGCCCACCACCGGGAGGCTCAGCTCCTGCAGAGGTCCAACAGCGTCAGCCCCCGGGGCTGGGCTTGACACCCAGG